TTAATACGTAAGCAAGGATGTAGGTGTGCGTGTAGATGAGAATGTGGATCATCTGTTAACTCAAACCCATATCCTAACCACTTATTGCTGCCGTTCGTGTTAGTCGTTGCTTATGTCCTAGTTGAACTGACTGTATGTAAGAAATCTTTTATTATGATGATAGAGAATTTTCCATATTTTAGTTTAAAAAAAGCATTCCAATTATTTACTGTCATAAGATAGAAAAACATCTCCGATTAATCACTGTATCTTTATTAGTTCTCCGTATCTTTGACAATAAGAATATTGAAGAACGATCTTTAGAAATGGAATCATTCTTTGAATCATTTGCTCTTCAATGATTCTTTTATTTTGAAAGTAGAGAAATTCATGAGGGTGTGGATGTGGGTATGGATGGAGATCTACATTCACACCCACACCCTAACAATCATTCTTCTGAGATTAGTTCGAACTACTTTCATTGATAGACAAAGGAGTCGATGGGAACTTCAACAAATCTCAAAAAAAGAATTTTTTCCCATGACTATTTTCTTTTAATCTAACACTTATATTGAAGATACAATACTGAATTCCAGCATCGATTCCACTAGCAGGAGAATTTTCAAATAGTGCATTTTAATAACCTATTAATATTGTTCTTTTTGATATGAGTTCTTTAGATATCAAATCTCTTGCAGCTTTATTTTCTCTTTTTTTTATCAATTATCATCAAACAACATTGGTCAATGATGCTGTCATCAGAAGTGCATCGCACATAACGATTTATCATTCAAATAATAAATTCTGCTTTCCTATACATAGATGAAAAAGCGTCACAATAAAAGATGGTGCAACATACTGCAATTTTCAATTATTCAATATTTAATACACTTGCAGTTGCCGACTTTTCTTTGTCATGTATGATAGAATTACAACTACTTAAAAGTTCCAATATAGGTGACGTGCCGTTTGGTTGCAAAAAGCATGAAGATACGATCATCGAAGTACTGATGATTATTTTCTTATTTTTGAGGAGATTATTCTTTTATAGTAACGTAATTTCAATGACGTGGAGAAGTCTGTTTTTACAAGGAGTATTCGTTCTTATGATGGATAATTCCGTCAATGTATTCTCATATATCCGGTGAAAATCATGAGAAGAACGATGCGACAATACTACTCTCATAATTATTGGTTTTTTTATGAATCATTTTCTTTTACAAAGTTTTAATCACGTTTGTAAGCTTCTGTTCACGTTAAACTTATAACGCAGTTTTTTTCTTTCTTTCAGGTAAGAATACAACCAAAATATATATTTTATCTATAGTTTCTTTTCTTCTTATTCATAAAATCAACAAAAGCACCCATGTGTCATGCAACACCTTTCTTTTCATCTTTATGAAATGTCGAATTTTTCCAACGGTATGATGCTTGTCATGGAACTAGTATATAAGTGCTTACAAAATGAGTTTTTCTTTGACCGCTGTAATCCGCACACAATCCTATTCAATTATGAGCAAACAAAAATATTATCTACGCAAATATATTGAAGATGTCAGAGATACTGTTATGAATTATCAAGACAAGAGTTATGAAAAATTCTGCCGATTATTGATCGATGAACTGTTATTCTATATCCGAAAGGTTCCATTTCGGTGGATAATTGTTAATCATTTAGAATTGTATGGTTTTTATCATGGTCGAATAAAAGCACATTCTATACTGTGGCGCTATAAAGCAGATTTGAAGATAATTAAAGAATGGAAAACATATTCATTTCGTTTTCCAAATGTATGTCATTTTGATCTATACAAAAAATTTAATATCACTGCTAGTCTCTTTCAAAAATCAACGAAACGTCGTCATCGTTCAAATGATTGGTATGTTTATATAGGAAAACAATTACCAAAATATATTGGAGACTATTTATCTATTCAAACAATTGTACAAGTGAATGACCATCCCATAACAATGTTGTTTGTGAATCAAGATGAAGAACGCATAGATATTTATTTTTATTTCAAATCCATCAATACAAAGGTTACAATTACTTTCGAACGATCAATTTTTTGATAACATCAGAACTCTCACTAATATTTCACCTGTAATAGTGAAGTTCTTTTCTAAATAAAAGAATCATGAAACATACTTTTTTTGCTTTTCAGATCAATGTTAAGCTAGATTTAATGGGATTAGTGCTCAAAACAGTCATTTGAGTTTCTCACAGTTCCTTAGATAGTTATTTAGATTTCGTTTTACGCTACAATTTTTCCTTCTACGACATAGTTTAATAATTAATATAATAAGTAAAAGATATACTAAAGATCAGCATAAAAAATGTATGTGAATGTCTATCATCTTTGCCAGTTTTTAATAATATGATCTCATGTTTCTTTAACTATCTAATAGTAATTCACGATGCGAAAACAAACGGTACAAATCAATATAAGAACTAAAGACTAATAAATATTCGATGAGAAATAGATATGAACGCTACTACAAAATTAAGATTTTCGATACCTATTTGACATACTGTCAGCACATGTGTATGAGATAATGTTAAGAGTGTATTCAACAAAAAGAGAAGATCTTTAAAAAAATGTTTTTTGAATAAATTCTACTGCTCATTGCTACCAATCAGAGTACAGGTAATTCGTATCGAAATTTTACGACCGTTATACAGTATTGCGAAAGTTAAAATATAGTCTATCGTATCAGAAATCTATTGATTAAATGATTCTCAATGCTTTGGTTGTAGGTAACCCTTAAAAACACACAGCATTGTACAAATGACAACAACAATTCTTTGCAGATTTATTAACCTTTTCTTGGTGTAGGTTTCTGAATATGTTGTAGATTTAAAATAATAAGATACGTTATTAAATATAACCACATGCTTGGATGGAAAGATAAAAATGAAGAAAGAACAGGAAAAAAAAGTTAGAAAAAACCACTTGACGACATTTGTTGACACACGTTACTCATATAATCATCGATACTCGAGTTCGAACATGACGTATCGGGCAACAACAGAAGCAATCGATGATTCATAAAAAGTCCTCACGTTTAACACAGACGAAGATTTAACAACAATGTGGTTCGATAATAAGAACCATGATGAAATCGAAACTATGTTCGAACATTTACATGATCACGTACAAATCTGTCATTTATTCGATGGAGGGTGAAGGACGAACCCAACATACCATGATTCAGATTGCGACCTTGCTTAAGGGTCATCATCAGATAGTTTTGACTCTGTGATATTTGCTCAAGATGATCTGTGTATTGTGCAATCGTAGTGTCATGGTTAGGTGTGGGTGTGGGTGTCGGGGTGATCAAAGAATTCCTATATCCACACCCACACCCACACCCCATACATCCCACACACCCGCACACTCACACTTACGTTCACATCCTCACCCCACACCCACACCTACACCCTACGTGTCCATTTATAGCCAAATGCTAATTCAAGATATTTGAAAGCTGTTAGAACGCTAAATCCACCAAGAAAAAATCCGGATAAAGTGTTAAGAGTAAACCATGATGTTTTTGCTTTCCAGAAGATGAATACAAATACAATACTGACAGAACTTACAATTGAAATAAAACAAAAAAGATATGGTGAATTGAGATATCGACCTATACTAAGACTAACAATGAACATCATAAATACACAATGATAGGATAAACAGAGAACGACTATAGTATTTTCAATCATGGTGTTGAAAGGATCGAAACAGTTACAGATATTTGTATCGTACTTGCTGTTCTACTGATAAGTGTTTCAAAAGCTAAAATATTAAACAAATAATATCGTACCATGTCAAAGATAACAAAAACACACACATAACGTTATAATGTTTTTTCACATATGGAGAAATAAATGAAAGCCTTATCTATTCACTTTTGTCGTTAATTCAAATTTGTCTACCAGTCTTAAACTTTTCTCGTATTAACAAACAAGTACATAGTTTTCATTTGAAAGATTCATCACCGTTAGTTTTTGTTCATCTTGACATGCAAGTGAAATGAAAATGTTGAATTATTCAATATACAAATTGTTCAAAAATGAAAGACTTGATTCATGCAAAGGTAATATAGAAAAGGGAAAAAAGCAGCTAAACAAGAATGTCAAAAAAAAGAGAATACTAACTATTTTTGATACAATAGGACAAAAATTTGAATACGAAACAGTTTTAGGTTGGAAATCTTATCTACAATGGATTAGTTATTTTTATGGAAATCATGTATTTTTCGCAGAAAATAGTAAGTCTAAGTTATAAGCATTCAAATTTTTGACTGCATCTCTACGAGAAGCACACTCGCTTACAAAACATTAGCAACCAAGAAAGACGAATTTAAACAAAACCAATGTTATTGTTTTGAGTGTTGTACAAACGTGTGAAATAATTCAAGATTTCTATTAGAATTTGAATTATTGAAATTCATTCTTGAATCTGTTCAATAGTTTAGTTTTCGATTGTGTGTGCAAATAAAAATTTTTTATTGAAAATGTCAAGGATGATGTAGAGTGACTCATCAATTTACCACAGTTGTTATATAATCAATATTAAAAGTATACTTTGACCAAGTTACAAATTTTTGACATAATAAAGATAAATATTTGTAGGGTGTGGGTGTGGGCTGCAGGTATGGATGTAGAAGTTCTTTGATCACCCCGACACCCACACCCTCAAACCATACTCATTGATAGAATAATAGAAAATGCCATTAATGAGATCTTGTTTTTCTACATTTGACACTTGTTCTTTTATAGTAGAGCAGTAATGTTTCAATGAAAAATGGAAGGTTTTTTTTTTCTATTGTTATAGTAATAAAGCACAAGTAGAATTAAAAAAGAAATCAATAAATTTGTCTTTCATAATACATAACATCATTCTTAATTCAAAAAAAAATTCTCTTACTATTGTAAACTAATGCCAACATTTGAAGGTATCTTTGTTTGGTTGAAATTGATACCGAATATAAATAAATATTAGATAAGGAAACACTTGATGACTCATTTTTATCCTGATCCATTCTTGCATAGTATACGATCAAATATGACAGAAGACGTAACGCCGACTCCAATCATCATAACTTCTATTGATCAATTACTAGGTGATATTGTTGAAAATTGGACGCCTCGTCTTCATCCTCTTGCTAATCCACAATATCACATACTTCAAGGTCAATATTGTCGACTTGAATTACTCAATTCAAAAACTAATAATAAAACTATTCAACAACTTTATGATGCATTTAAACCAACAGAAAAAACTCATTTTACTTATTTATCATATGGACCATTTAAAACAATTGATGAGTTTAAAGAATTTATAAGTTTGAAAGAATTATCAAGTAGTGATACTATTCTCTATAGTATTCTAGTTAATGATACTGCCGTTGGATTTATTGCTTTGGCAAGCGTCAATCCAGAATATGGTACAATTGAAATAGGACATGTGAATTTTAGTGTACAATTATTACGAACTCGTTCAGCTACAGAAGCAAATTATTTATTGTTACATTATGCATTCGATATATTAGGTTACAGAAGAGTTGAATGGTCATGTAATGCATTGAATGCTAAATCTCGACGAGCAGCATTACGATTAGGTTTTCAATATGAAGGTACATGGATCAAATCAGATTTATCTAAAGGTCGATCAAGAGATAAGTCATGGTTTAGTATTGTCGATGATGAATGGGTACAATTGAAACAAGAATTTCAACGTTGGTTGAATCCAGAGAATTTTGATAACAATGGACAACAATTAATAAAACTTAATGCAGCACAAATCAATCCACGTAGTAATAAAAAAAAACGAATAACATCTAGTAGAATATAAATTAATGATTTCCATATAATATATGATTATTTGTTTTTTTGATAGTGTAATTAGATATCAATATTAAATAAAAAATCTTGTTTGAATTTCATTATAAGAATTCATAGTACTTTGCTGTACTACGAACTGTTCTGTAAGGCTTATATCACATTTTCAAAGAAGAATGTCAAAGCTCGAAAGTCGAAGTTATTACAAAATCTTCAAATGATATGATAAATATATATTTTCCTAAAAATGTTGATAATAGTAGATTAACCAAAAATGAATGAATTTTAAATGATTACATTTACATTCACTGTTTGTTTGTTTGTTATACTTTCCAGTCAAATGCGAAAGTTTTAAAAAAAAACGCGTGTAATTGCAGAAAATTTTCAAAAACTCGCGTTTTGCTTGCAAAATATTTTTCAATTCGTTGTATCTTATATATGAAGATATAAACTATTTCAAATATTCATATTTGATGCATATAAATAAGCAAAACATTCGACATTGTGCATGACTCTTATCTTTGTAAATAGTTGCATACAATACTCCCTAGTGAAACTACTCATCAAGCGAGTACGACTTGCCAGCATGAGTACTCAAGTTACTCATACGAGTACTTGAAGAATTTGATGTGTATGAATACTGTATATGTACCAATACGAGTACTCATACTAGTTTTTCTTTGCAGATTAACTCACAGAAAAAGACGCGAGTACTCAGTGTAGTACTCATACGAGTTTTTTCGCAGAATATTTAGTGAAACACTTATGCACTTGTATGCACAAAAATAAATTGAAATTATGTAATAAAGAAAAACGATGTAATTTTAAATGAAAAATAGAGAAGAACTGTTTTAATGAATTCTATATTTTATCCTCTATTATTTTCTGATGATTGGTTTATACGATTTCATTGGATGACGACGTGAAGAAAAAAAGAAAGTGACTTTTCATTTTTAACTGTTAACTTCGCGAGTAAGATTTAATATTGAATTAAACATATTAATCGAAATTTATTCTAGCCTCAATTTCTAAATTTAGATAAAAAGTTCTGTATTAATATAAAGTTTTACAGATTGATGATGGATCGTAATAGAAAAAAGAACTAACGACTTTTGTTGCAAATCGATTACGATTTTAAATGATACACACATGGAGACAATGACTACAGAGGTATAAGTAATTTTTTACTTTTTTTATAAATTGTTAAATGATTGTAGATATAAACGATTTTTAAACACTTATCCTTTTTGTTGTGTATCAATCAATACTGAATCTTTATTTGTAATCACATATTTCAATTTCACCGAATAATCTATTATTTATTTTTCTCTATGTTTATTTTACTGTCACTTAATCAGTTTACTGTACTCTTACTTTATAGGATAGAGACAAAGAAATCTTCATCATTCGTTATAGAAGAAAGTTAGATATTTCTTTATCTCTAGTATTTGTGTTAAAAACTAATGCAGATAAAATAATACTTGTAACTCTCGTATTGATTGTTCTCTCATATTTTTAGTAGGTAGTATTGTATTTTGTGTTATTATTTTTATATAAAAAATAAAATAGACGTAGTGCAACGGTAATGAACAGAATGTAGGTCTATGAGTATTTTACATAAACGACTAGAGTACTCAAAAACTATATAGGAGTACTCGTGAAACACTCATTATTTTAAGGCAAGTACTCGATGGTCGTACTCAGATTCTAGCATGAGTACTCGATAGTCGTACTCAGATACTCAAATTCTAGCACTAGTACCACTGGTGAGTACTCAAAAGCATTGAGTACTCATGAGTTCTCGCGGTATTTTCTAGCGTGAGTACTTTTTACGTACTCTCTTGATGAGTACCTTCACTAGGGCTCTTATGTATTTGTGGAAGATATATGACTTACATATACCTGAAAGATGACTAGGTTTTTACTAAATTTTTCATATCAGTATGCATAGATTTAGTTATTTTCTTCAACGTGTATTTATTTATTTATTTCTCATAAAAATGAAATCGCTCTCATATATCCATACAAAATTGGGTCAAAAACCTTGTTCAAGCTTTTGAATTCGCTTACCGTCATTAGTATTCATGTTCACACGTATCTCGTAGTGATCAGATGATTGTTTTTTTGTGGATTTGAATCGATTGTTATCAAAATAGATTTGTTGGTTTGTTGAATTATGGAAAATAGAGGGCAATCGTTTCACATATATTTACAATAATAGAAGTGTATATGTCAGCGTCCAAACTAAGATTACGTCCAATCTCAGATTGGCCTAGGCAAATGTCGGATCTGAGATTGGACGCGTCCAATCTCGGATTGACGTAATTCTATTCACTAAAATATTAATTACTCTTTAGATAGACGTTGGAACCAAACTATTTTTCGAAGTCATGTTCATACAATGCTGTTTTAAGTATTACAAGCATTTAGGAAGAAGCTAAATTTAGACTCAAGAATTTAATAAAGGCTTTTCACGAAAGTTGGTTTTTCTAGAAATTTATTTATAGCTCCTAAAATTTTACTCAAATCTGTCAAACGACAATTGTGCCAAATAAACTGACATTGTAGAAACATTACTCAAAAAAACAATTCGAATCGAACGTATATCTAAAGATTAATCAATATTTTAGTGAATAGAATTACATCAATCTTAGATTGGACGCGTCCAATCTCGGATGCAACATTCGCCTAGGCCAATCTGAGATTGGACGTAGTCCCAGTTTGGACGCTGACATATATATATAATTGTATTTTTTTTATTTGAATAAGAAATTAACAAGAGTAATGTAAGCAACGCGTTTCGAATTTTTTCTTCGTCAGGCTAGATGTAGATGAGGAAAAAATGAGAGTGAGAAAAAAATGGAAAAGAACAAAACGTATATACAGTAGTGGAGCGAGAGAGAAGAGGAAAATATGTAATGATTTTACGAAAAAAGAGACAGTTCTAATCATATTGGTTTTTAAATCATGTAGTCTATAAGTTGTATAAGTTATGATGTGTGAAACGATTCGATGATATAAATTATGACATGTGAAACGAATAAATGATATGATCATGAAGTGTGAAATATGAAATGTGTTGATATGTGATGATGAGTTTGGATTGGATCATTGTGCGAAGGAGTTAAAATGATGGTGAGTATATAGTTGTATAAACATTTGATAATAGTGAGTACGTAAGTGATCGTTGTAGGTATTAGATGTCGAGAATTTGTAGACATAAGGAATTCAGAATTGAAATTTAAGAATTAAGAATTAAGATATTAAAAATTGATCATTAAGAATTGTAAACTTGTAAGATAAGTGATCGATAGTCATATTGATGATGGTGAGTACATAGTTGTATAAACATTCGATAATAGTGAGTACGTAAGTGATTGGGGTGTGGGTGTGGGTGTTAATCTTTAATATATACACATTCACACCCGAGAGGTACACCCACACCGATCCTAGAACTTCGTGATGACAATGAACATCAATACTTGTTTTTACAAACTTGATCTGAAACGTTTATTGATTATTTTATTCGAGCGAACTATTTTTGTTTGATTGTACCGTGTATGACATGAAAACTGTTGTCATGTCTCTATATGGTAAACGAAATAAATTCAGATGAAACTAGCTCCTTTGAAAATTTTTTTGAGAACATATAATCCAAAATGATTGAAGTGGCGACAAAAAATTGCCGTCCTACGATTCTTATCGGATTAAAACTTATAAAAAAAGGAGATACTAATTCAAGTCTCGGAGATGAACTTCCTATCCAATCAGGCATACTTCAGGGTGTGGGTTGGTGTGAGTACCATTGAAGAATAGATCCACACCCATATCCTCGATGAAAAAACTAAATTTTTGCATGGATCAGCATCTATACTACAAAATAGTAAAATTTTGCATGGCAACGCAGAATCGCTGTACTGTTGAATTTCGCATGTTTTACTGAAAAACTTTAAAATTTTTATGTGCTTGCATGTGTTTGTGACATGAATCTCTAAGCATGTGTAGTTGACCTGCATTTATATGCAACAATTATACATATTTTGAATGTCTTGCAAGATCGTGCTTGAGATCAGACGCATTAAACAATATTTGCAAGTAAATGCATATTTTAAAAAATTTCTTGCAAATATACTCGTTTTTTGACCTTTCGTGTTTGATTGGAATATTTTTCAAATAAAACATAACCAAAAGACTTTGATTCGAAGTGAAACCTTGACAAAGGCTAGCATAGGCAAAGGTAAAAATGTTATTTTTAGTGATTCTAATAAGCATTCCTATAAAAAAAATCTAGAAGAGGTTTTTAAAAATTCTGTTTCATTGTTAAGAAAATCAAAACTTTTTATTTCCGTGGCAAAATAGCTTTAAAACGTGCTCTTATTTAGCAGTTTTGACTATTATTTCATGCATGAATAAACTGCATGTGGTATTCGGATTTTTGCATAAGAAACTATTAGTTTTTTTTTCTAGAGAATTTGACGTATCCTCTATCCCACCATGTACAAAGAAAATCAAAAAAACACAATTACCGACAGAAACAAAATTTTAGCCCAATCGGACGTAACCCAGAAAAGTGAAAGATGAGTGTGGATGTGAATGTTTGTCTTGTCTTCATCTACACTCACTCAAACTCAGGTGTTGTGGTAACTATACATATGCTCACACATATCTCACATCGAACTGTCGTGATGTTAAAAAAAAAGTTCAAACTGAACCGATCCCATATATGAAAATGGCTTACAGTAGCAGTGACGAATTATGAAGAAATCAAAGCGTCTATGTGAACAATATTTATATTAAATCGATAGATAGATGTGCATATGCAATCTGAGCTATTCGCAATTTCGTAGAATGTTTTCATACTCATAAAATTTCGCTCTGTGATTCAGAAAGTGATTGCATGTGATTTACACATTTTAAATTTATAAGGGCTTGCTTTGGCAAGCTTTTTAATCAAAATGTAATCCACTGTAGATGATTGAAATTTGAATAATCATGCGCAATCGAGCATTTTTTTTATAATTCTAAGAACTTGTTTTACATTACTATTGAGAGTGTTTTTCTTTCTATATCGTCTACTTATGTGCACAACTATATGGAGCAGAAAATATTATATTTGTTTTGTGTTATAACTATGAGAACACTACGATGAAAGCATACTGATTGTGAAAGAAGCATACGCAAAAATAGAATGATAAATTAACAGTCCTGGTTCGAAGCAAATAATTTGACTTTTTCTTCTTATGAGTTCAAATTATTAAACACTTGTGAAAAACCTTAGAAAAGTGTTATTTATTCGTACCTCATACATTCGTATGTATACAAATACACTTGATTAGACAATAGAGTAGGTAGATTCACGACTCTGGACACAATTTAATTACTGATTAAAACGAATAGAAATGTTTTACAAATGGTCTAAAATGATTGACCTTCATTTAAACATTGTTGAAATCAACATGTTCTTTTTTAACAACCGATAAACTATCTTTGAGATTCGAAGTCCAAGAACTTTACCTTTATCAGTTTATAGTCGATATCACTATGTATTACGAGCTTCGCTACTGAAGTCCAACTACTTTATTGTACTTAAAGAGTTTAGTATCAGTGAAATATGATGAAGTATTGTGGTTTGACTCGCAGGTAGACTTCAATTAAATAAGCTCGAGATGCATGTCAGTATTAGATTAAGCAGTTGTAAAAGATAACTTTAACAAATACTTGAAGTATCCTTATGTGTACGTAATTCTTGCTTTTTTCGTGTTGGAGAACTTTTATCATTTATGTAAAAGACAATGATAGGACCAAACCCGGTATGTAGGAAAAATCGCTAGACTATTATAAACAAACAGAAATCTATGCCATGGTCTGCCAATCAATTATAAGAATATCGGTACATATCTCACGGTATATGTCAACATTCATCCATACTTACGTTTCATAAAAGCATTATAATTAATAGTGAAACAGAAGCATTATGTAATCTCTTTAGTGCTGCAAAATAAAATGTGACTAATCGCGAGGTTGATTTAATTCTTACATAATAAAAACAAAGTGAGCAATATATCATAGCCATTAGTTTTGAAGTATTCATTTATTTTTCTATTGAAAATATTGAGCCACTAATAATTTGTTAGCGAATTATATTAATCTTGAAAACGTTTAATTTTAGATTTTCTTTCATCAAATAACTATTATGTGGAATCGAACTAAAAACATAGTTCTCTCACCAATCAATGATATTTCAATAGCTCAAGCAAAAAACAAGTTATCAAGTCGCCTTTCAATCATTCGTGAATTTGGTTCGAATACATCAACGCATGCTTTACCGAGTATTGCTCGGAGTGAAAGTCTACATAATCGTATTTTTTGGTCCCTTTCATTCATTAGTTTTACTGGTGTAATGATGTGTTTTATTATCAAAGCGATCTTGGCTTATTTCAATTATCCAACAAGTATGGATACAAGTTTCATTAGTGAATGGCCTCAAGAATTTCCAGCCTTCAGCTTCTGTAATATCTCACCATTTCGTCTGGATCTATTTTGGGAGTCTTTCCTAAACTACTCTATCATGAGCAATGGCACAAGTGTCAATGATACAGCATGGAACTCATTTTCATTTTTAGATCTTACAAGATTTGTCATACATATTTTGAATAGCAACGAAACACTTGATAAATATTTCTATTCACTTTCATCGATGATGTACAAATGTTCATTCAATGATATGCATTGTTCAGTAAATGACTTCGTTCCTTTTACATCATTCCTCTACGGTGCCTGTTATACATTCAATGCAGCATTGAAAAATAATACCAATCGAAATATACTTTATGCCAACGAATATGGTGGTGATGGAAAACTCTCTATAGGTCTTTACATACATAGTCATCAATATGTGCCTCTTCTAACTAACGGTAAGTCAACATTTTATTCAGAAAATATTATAAATTAATTTTCTCTATTGAGGGTTTGGTGCTATAGCTCTAGTTCACGATAATACACAATTGCCAAATATTGAAGTAGCTGGTATTGAATTAACACCAGGACAAAGACACAAACTTGGATATAAAAAGAAAACAACTTACTTATTATCTTCACCCTATACAACATGCACTAAAAAAATATCTCCAAATATGCAAGCCATGTTTGAATATTACAATAATACTAATTATGGCTATTCTGAAGCGTTATGTTATCGACTTTGTGGACAGGCCTATGCTTAAGTGTACTTTAATTGATAATAAAATGCTCTAATTTTCATGATATTTTATCTAATGGAATTCATTGTATCTTAGGTATGAACAATGCCGTTGTGTCAGTCCTATCCTATGGAATGGTCGCAAACTCTATATTTCGAGCATGAATCAAGTGGTTTTTGCACCTCTTTGCGAATTCGACAATATGTGTTACAAGAAAAACATTAGTGAACTTTTAATTTCATCTTCTCTTATGAAAAGTTATTGTTCAGAATGTTTACAAGAATGTGCAATAGAAAATTTTATTATACAAACTTCTTCACTATCACAACCAGGTGAATGGGAAATGGAAAAAATAAAACAGTTTGTTGAAAATTCCACGATTCCATTAGCGACGAATTGGTCTAGTACATGGCAAGATGAAATTCGTAAAAATTATCTTACTATCAATGTTGTACGCGAAACAAGTGTTGTCGAAAATAGTACACAATCAGCGACCATCGGTATAGTTGATGTATTTTCAAATGTTGGCGGTCAAACTGGCCTATGGATTGGCATGAGTCTCCTTTCAATCATGGAGCTAATAGAAATGCTTTATCGATTGATTCGAAACGAATTTCATATTATTCGAAGAAAGATACAAATTAATAGACAACAGGGACCGTCGCAGGGCAGGACTGTCCTAACACCCCAATCTAATACCAGGACAGGGCACACTTGCAGGTTTTAATCCTGCTTTGATAAAATTTTTTTTGAAAAGACACTATTTTGATCCACTTATTTAATATTCACTCTGTTTTGGTCGAGAAAAAATGGTTTTTAAAAAGCAATTTTTAATTGATTAAACATTATCTACAGCTTAAAATATAACTAGAACTCTAGTCAAATTTGTTTTCTTCTGCATATCTCAAGAAGTGTTCTATATCATATAACTTTCTTGCTCAAGAAAGACAAGAAGTTTGTGAACATGAAAAAAAGGTTTTACTTAGAAAACCAAATCAAAAGTTGCTTTTCAACTGGAAGACCGGACTCGAATCGGCTTGAGGGTGTGGGGGTGGGTGTGGGTGTGGGTGGGTGTGGCTCATCTCTCACTCTACACCCACACCCACACCAATCCAACACTTCTTTTATTCCTCTTGTCATTGTTTTATTCATGACTTTAACCACTCATGTATGTATCCCGATGTGAATATTTTCCATCACCTTCGTATGAACTTTTCCAAATACATTACCATCTAGTATGGTAAACTAGAGATCTCATTTCAAATATACACTTACATAGAGAATTCTAACTTCATTACACTAAAGAATTCTTTCTATTCCAGATAAAAAAACATTATTCAATTCGATACCAATCAAAAGCCACGAAAGCAAGCAACACAAATACAATTAAAGCAACTATAAATACCGAGGCCATAACAAATACTCATTCAGTAATTTTCTCATAAGCAGATTGACGAATTAACAACCGCCTGCAACTCAGTACGATCTTTTACATCACACCTCAATCGACTTGATAAGAACTATTTCAGCAACATCGAAATACCAGAGGTATTGTGGTAGCTATAACACACCCAATTTCAGAGGTGTTTCTACTAAGTTTTACTTGGTAGAACTTCTGTGTCATGCTTTCATTCAAGTCATACTTGGATCTCTTAAGCTGATACTTGTGTCATTTGATAAGATTAGTACCAGCAACATCGAAATACCAAAGGTATTGTGGCAGCTATAACACACCAACAGCCACACACCAACAGCCACACACCCACACTCCACAGCCACACAGCCACACTCTACACCCACACCGTCGCAAATTACACCTACCCATATATGGCATCAAACATAAGCAAAGCAATTCATTGGACACCGCCACCGCTCATTGCAAAAATGTAAACCGTACAGTTATAAAACAGAAAAAAATTCGTAAAACGTCTCTTTCTTTATCACAAACTTCAAACATCACAAACACTAAAGACAGACGCAACAACGTCAAACTATAAATTTTCACAATTCGACAAAACTAACTCAACGATAATTCCGTCCAAGTCAACCAAGAGAAACATCATGAAAGATGCTTGAAAAATAATATTTTCAACTTCGAATTTCACTTTCGGTGTGATCCACAGATTGCCTTTCGAGTTCCTCCTTCTGAATGTCGAAAGCTTCAACCAACTTCTCCATCAACCGATCACAACTCATGTTCATCGTGCGTAAGTCACTACCATGGTAGATATTAATGGTATTTCCAACAGCAGTTACAGCTATCCCTTGTAATAACGAACAATACGCAATCACCGGCAGCCAAGCGTCATTTTCAGTTTCTCTATAAATCTCGAATAAATGCTTCAACGGCATTTCTGTAAAATCCATACTATTCCATTCTCTGACACGATAGTTAAGCTTTGAGATCATTTGCATCTCTATACAACGTAACCAATCCAACGAACACATCGCGCGAGCAAGCCAACCACTAAAAAAGTCTTTAAATCTACCAAGCGTTTCACTCGACGCCTCAAGTAAAAAAGGAATCATTCCAGGCGTCGCTGCCTTTCTCGCAATCTTAAACAATGCATCATACGCAGACAATTTAACATCTACGTCTTTATCATGCGATGCATTCACCAGAGCAGCACTCACCTCATACGTCGCTGCTCTTTCACCCATCTTTCCCAATGCTTCACACGCACTTAGTCGAACGCGTTCATCTTCATCGTGCATTGCATTCACCAG